TTTCTTAGCAAAGAAACAGGTGAAAGCTAACAGATGGTGTCTTTCAGGGGGTGCCTGGAGACTAATGGGAGTTCCTGAAGTTGAATGAGGTTGAGAAGGACTGGTTTAAGTTATTCTCCCTCCCTGGTGCTTCTCTCTTCCAGTTCATTTACAGAGCTCTTGGGTCTCTTTTCAGGCTTCATTTTGCTAAGTTAACCAAGCCAGCCTATTTTAGGACATAGCTGTGCTGCAGTAGTGGTACATACCTGCTAGGATGTTCCTGAACATGGCTCACCCAGAGGCCGCTCAAACTGCTGCATTTTAGACATACCCCTGGTGTTCTCTCATAAAAGAGTCTGCTTGTTCCACTTAAAACCCTTCTCTGTTCTTGTTCCAGTTTGAATTCATCTTTCTTGAATATAGTTGACCAGACCTGTATGCAAAATATTCCAGAGAGGTTTCACGAAAAACTTGTAAGAGGGCATTAGCATTTTCTTCCTTCCATTTAGAAAGGCCTTGACTCGTACATCTGAGGTTTGGGTTTGCCACTTTCATAACCATATTATCTTGGTGTTTCAGTCATCTTATGCTGGACTTAATGCAGTGATTCTAAACCAGCATCATCCTGGGGTGCTGCAAGATCCTTTAATGGTGCCATGGAGCGTGAGTAGATAAGCAGATAAGTGTAGGCTCAGGCTTCTCCCTGCATGGTCAATCCCTGACTGCCATTGCCTGGTCCCTCTGCTAAGAGGTAAACTAAGCAGTGTAATATATACATTAATTTCTGAAATTGGATACAGTTTAATTCACAAAAGTTGTGGAAGGGTTTCCTTGAGTTCAAAAAGGTTGAGAACTATTGATATAATGTGCCTTGGTCTGTATGTTGCATCATTTCCAACTGATGAGCTCCCATCTTAAAAGAAAATGCTTGTTAATCCTTCAGTGTTTGATCTTCTTTTGTACTATTACATTTAACTTAATTTCTTTAAGTCCAGTCCTCTAAGTCACCCAGTTCTTCCTGTGTGATAGGCTGATTTTCATCTGTATTGACAATGCATGCAAACCTTTCACCAAAATTTCATTAACAAGTTTGTACCTTTTTATGCCATAGCTGTTAAAGAAAATATTAATTCAGGATAGTTCCCAAGTCGATCCTTGAGGATTCTACAACTAACCTCTTTCCCATCCTAAAAATTCCCTTTTCAGAACAACCTGTTATAGGTTTCCCTTCAGTCAGGTCTTAATCTGCTTAATCATATTTGTCTTAATCTCAAATTATCATTGCATCTATATTAGATATACCATGTTTTTCTTGACTAGAAAATGTTATGTTATAAAAGATGTTAGATGTTGTATTTTATCCCACTTTCTATTTTCTTCCATGTCCTTAATTATTCTTTCCTTCAAAAACTTTTCTATACCCTTGTATATAATGATCATCAGATTAAGTCTTTAATTGCCCAGTATTATTTCTTCTCCTTCAGTCTCAACTATAAGTACTATGTGATGTATACCTGGGAAGCTATTTACCCATATCACAGCTCCCTGTAGTATTTATTTTATATGGTAGAGATCTCTCCATATCAAACTCTAGCACTGCTAGTTTATAGCATAGCCCTAGCACTACCCCAGTAAAACATTATATACCACACTTCACCAAAATAATTTTGAATTAAACCATTGTTTTATCTGTTCAACAACTTATTTCTTGAGGCTATCACATTATTAATGCACAATGCTAATCTATTGCCATCCATCTTTCCCATAACAGCACCTGCCCACAAAATCTCTATTCAAATAATGACTATTATTCCACCAAGTTTCTATGATCTCCATAATATCTATTAATATGTCTTGAACCAATAACTGTACATACTCCATTTTTTTTTGCTCAGGCTGTTTGCCATAATGCACTGGTTATTATAGTTTTTTTTCTCATTGATCTCTCCTACCAGAATAACTACAGTCCTTTCATTAGCTGTACAGTTTAACTGACTTGTTCTTTTTGATACTTCCTCCTTGCTGCTTATCTTTGTACTCTCTGATCTTCTTCATTGCTGTATTGTAGTTGAATTGATTTTCATATGCATTAGAACTGCGTATATGGAGCTCCCTTCCCCATGTCTTGGTTTGAAAGCTTTTATCTGTTGCACCAGGCTTATCCCAGAAGGTTAATACCAAAGGTACTTAGCTGGAGTCCATCTATCAAGAGGACTCTTGCTTCTAAGTGTTTTATGACGAGTTCAAGTGGCATGTAGGAACCTAGTCTTGTAATCCGAAAGTAAATAAGAAGAACATGTTATTGAAATAGCATAATCAGCCTGTATTTTTTTTTAAGTGATATGACATTGTTATTTAGCTTCAGCAAGTTTTAATGTTTAAAACCTGCTGTCTTGACTTCTGTTGTTGTTGAAAATTGCTTTTATTCCTTGATGCATTTTGTTTCATAATGCTTATTTGTAAAGATTTCTTATTGGAGAGAATGGAGTTAGTCATTTAGAGCTGCAGTAACATCTTAGGAGCAGTGTGACATCATTCTGGTATCAGTTTTCTAGCAAAGCTAGGAGCCCTGACAGCTGGGTTGCTTTTTCTCTGTGTCAGGACTATACAGTGCTCATCGGGGAGCAGCTTCAAAGACAAAAGGGTTGTGTCTCGCGTCTTTCCGACTGTTCTTTTTGTTGTTGTTTGTATGTCAGGCCTTTGGTAAAGAATGCATTTCCCCGAAGACTGGTGAGTAACTCTTATGCTTTGGTATATATTGTAACAATTATTGACTGTAAGTAAAAGGACTTTTCTGGCTTTCCTGGAAAAATCAAATCTGCTCCAAATATAGTATGTATATCAAGTGAATGCAAAGTGCTGTAGAGGATGTATAATCCACATTAGAATTTAAAAGCAGAGATGGTAAATTTATAATTGGAATAAAAACTAGCTTTTGTGATTTAAGATCATGTTCAGTAAAAGTACATAGCTTAAAGGTTTTGTATTCAAACATGCTAACTTCAGTATCGAGTTGGTGACTGAGGAGCTAGGAGAAGAAACTTGTATAGAAAATGATTTTAATGACAGGGACAAAATAACTTGCATTGGAAAGCTTCAATTCTAAGCTTTCTAGTTTGTGATTTTCATGTTTTCGCAGATTGAATTATATCGTATGTAATAGCATAGCATTGCTTAGTGGCATAGTTCAGTGTGAGGATTTTAAGCATTTTTGATTAACGTGCAGCAATGGGAATACCCTCAAATGGGTAACTTGTATGAATTTGTTTTAGCAAAGGCAATGTTAGTAGCTGACTGTTAGAAACGTTATTTGTATTGAATTGGAAGGGTATATCACAAATATGAACTGAAGGAGAAAAACTGAACCATTTTCACTGAAACTGTGTAAATGGAGCCTATAAAGATTTAAATCTTTTACTCTGAGCTGTAAATTTTGTCAGAGTATTCTGCCTGTTGTATCACAACCTCTTCATGTCTGTAGTTTTTCAGGCATTTTATACCCAAGGCACAGCTAATGAATTTGCTTCACACACACTCATTTTTTTTTCTTGTTAGAAAGGCAGTGCAAGATACCTCTCTTTCTTGTTTGATTACCGTAACCAGGCAAAAACGGTTGAAGGCAAGATTTTAATCACAGCCTGCAGTCCACGCTTTAACACTCTGAAAATCCTTGGTTAGCTTGCCAAAATCAAGGGTGAAAATAATTATTTAACCTATAAAGTATTAATTCCTTGCTAAGATGAAGAAATTCTTTTGGCACATCTATAAATACCTAAACAGGCACATTTTATGAAGATGAATACATTTATACTTGTCTCATCCAGTGTTCTGGATTTCTTAGGAATAACGTTCATCTTGATAGATGTTAGATTTTTGCTGAAAATCAATAACTAAGTTCAGAATTGACTACAGGTAGTCAAAATCAGACCTTTATGTAGATGGTGAATGTACTATTCTTAATTGTCAAACTGGCACTGGCTGTTCTGTGAATGCATCAGTGACTGGGTTTTTTTAATGATACAATGTTTGATGATGTTGTTAATACTCTAAAAGTTTCTAGAGTGAGATGAGCGTTCCAGCTGCGCATCTTACCCCATAATACCTCTTTTTGCTTTTAAAAATGGTAATGCACTGGATTTTTAATACTGATTGGGTTCATCTCATTAAACCCTGTAAAGTAATGATCTCTGAGGAGCATTAATGTATGAAAGGTGCTACTTAGATCTTACAGAAGATGAAAGATAGACTTTTTTTTTTGTGTGTGCAAGTGAAATATAGTATTGGCCTAAGGTAACTGTTGTGATTTTTATTACATGGTAGAAAATAGCTTCAATCAATGAACAAATATGAGGTCACCTATAGGATAAATGAAGACAGAAACAGCAGTGATCCTACTGCCATGGTAGCTGGAAATTGGGACACTATAAGTCTAATCTCCTGTTGGCATTTTGCATGAGTGTCAAATCTGCTGTTTTTCCTGAAAGAAAACATACAGGTATTCTTAAAGCAGAAGGCAGGGGAGGCTGCTACCTTATAGATTACCTATTTAAACTGCCCTGCCTTCTGTCTGACAAGGTATTCTTAAATTAGTTAAGGCAACTTGCTGTGATGGCTTCCTGCAGAAGAGAAGTGAGTGAAATGAGAACATGCTTTCTAAAACCATTCCTATTACATGTAGGATTGGTCTTATCACAAAGATGCAAGTTTTGAAAAGGGTTGCATTAGCCAGCTAATTGAGTCCCATGATCTTCACTTTATTTCTGAGTCTACTGCAGAACGGATGGTTAACATTAAATGATCCAGTTACTTTTTCTTCCACCTACGGTATTACTGGATTTTCTCACAATTGCTTCACTGTCTGTAATGTGAATTTTTGCACAAAGAAGAAAGAAAAGATTCAATATATTAGTGGACTCTGACTGCAAGTTTTGAGCAAATGCTTTTAAAATTTCAAAAATGTTATTTGACTGAAATACTCAGATAAAACTCACCTGTTCTTACAGCTTGCAACTTGTGCATAATTTTGAATGTTAATCTGCTGGAATTTGTTTTTTCTCTCTTCTGACCATCTGAAAATTAATTTTTGTGAAAGTGAAAATAACACAATCTTTTCACTTAATTTTCATTGCTTCTTAAATAAACATCACTGAATTGTATGATTGTTATCTGTTGGCATTAGCAAACAGCTATTTATTCAGGTTCAAAATAGCTAATATTTAATATGGCAAATTATTTAGTCTTCAAAATGACTTTCCAAGATTTTCTAAATTATGCATGTGGAATTTTTTTGGCTTAATTAACATGCATAAACTAATCTCAATTTATGTAATTTGGGGATTTTATCTTTGAAATCATTGTTAGCAGTCCCTTGATACAAGGATGGCAGTGTTCCAGTAAATAGGGAAGTCCTGGGGAGTCCACAGATGACTGATCTAAGGCTGATCTAAGGTCTGCATGTTTGGTTGGCAAATAGTTCTGGGAGGAAGGAAGGAATTCTGGTGATGCTAGATGACAGCTCTTTCAGTCTCTTGTCTATCTGTCTCCCTAATGGGGTGAGTTTTCTCAAAATGAACCTTGCTTTGTTTTACATCATGGTACCATTGTGGACAATTCAGTGCTAGAGTCTCAGAGGTATTGATGTTAATACTTAATTTCTTCAGATTGACCTTCAGAGTGTCCTTGAATTGCTTCTTTTGCCAACTGTTACAGCAGTGACCTTCAGTGAATTGGAAGTATAGGAACTGGTTTGGGAGCCAGCTGTGAAGCATCCTTATTATGTGTCCTGTCCAACAGAGCTGGTGCCATAAAACATGGTTTCAAGGCTGCTGGTTGTTGCTTGGGCCAGGAAACTGACATCTGTCCTTCCAAGTGATATTGAAGATTTTCAGACATTGCTGATTTTAATGTTCCAAAGCTTTCCGGTGTTTCCAACGTCATCCAAATTTCAAGCCCGTACAACAGGGTAGGGATCACAGCCTGTCAGAAGAAAAGTTTGATGTGGGTCCTGATGTCGTGATCATTGAAAACACAATTTTGCAGATGTCCAAAGACAGCAGTGGCAGATTATATCCAGGGTTGAATATTATTCTCTCTGAAATATCACACCAGTAAAGGCTCCCCACACTTATTTTTATGTTAGAATAGCTGTTGGGGCCTTAGAACTATTTATTGTATGCTCCAGAGTATTAGAGAATTGAAGATGCTAGATCTTTAACAGAAATATTCTGCATCCAAAATATTTATTTATTACTCAGTTTACATGAATTCTATTACAGATAAAAGAAACGTTACAAACTTTCACCCCAAAAAATCCTTTCCATGTTTGCTGTCAACTTACGTCTTTTGGGATTTTTTAATGTTATTGTTTCATTGTTCCTATAGCTATCCCAGAGTCTAGCAGAACCTGTGTGTTATCAATAAAAAAAGAAGCCCAAAGAAACTACTTCAAATGATAAAACAAAACCCCTTTCAGACCTTGATTAAAAAAAATAAAAGACCAAACCAATTTTCTCATTTGTTCATTCATCTTGAAACAGGAATTCTGTTTTTAAGTTAATTCAGTTTGAAATATTTTTGGCTTTTATACCTCAGAAAAGAAAAAAAAAAAAAAAAACTTGAACAAGTCCTTTCCTCCCCCCTCCCTTTCCAGATCATCTTTAATGATTTATAGTTTGGGGAGAGGATGGAATCTCACTGAGGTTGGAGAGATTTTCATAGGATTATAATTAAGAACCTCATTTATTTTGATATAAATAGTTGCTATGCATGAACAGAGGTATGGGTTACAAAGTTGAATCTATTTGAATATTTCAATATTTTTAATGTTGGTGCCATTTATGACCCCCTAATACTGGTTGAATGGTCATAGTCTTAGGAGGATGGTACAAAAAGATTTTTCAACAGCTGCATCTACATAAGGATTTTTCTGTAATTGCTGTCCAGTGAAGTAGTCCTCACGTACACATGGCTGGAGGCAGATGCTAGTGTTTTGAGAGCTCTGCCATTTAGCTGATCAAAACAGGTCTACACAATCCGGAGTTTAAAACACTAGCCCACTCTAGACCTGGTCTATAATAATGGTCCCGTTTTAACATGTTGGAGCATTTTCTAGTGTAAGCCAATGTGGGAATCTGGGTTGGAAAAAAAATGGTAGTAGACCGGGGGTGGGCAAAATACGGCCCACGGGCCAAATGCAGCCTGGGGAGGCCATTCTGTCTGGCCCACAGGCTCCCTAAAAATTTTAGAAAATTAATATTCATCTGCCCTTGGTTCCTGCAAAAAATGACAGGAACTAAGGGCAGTAGGACCCAGGGGAAGCCTGGTGGGCTCCCACAACAGCAGGGCCCGCCTGACCCCAGAAGCAAGGGCTTCTGGCCTGGGACCATATGGCTGCCCTGTGGCTGGCACCGCGGGGAAGGAGGCAGGTGGGCAGGGGAGGACCCCCGTCAGGGAAGGAGCCCAGGGAAAAGTGGTCTGGGCCGGGCAGTGTTTGCCACCGCCGCCTCTGGGGTGCCCAGCGCGTGAGCTCCAGGCAGACAGCAGCAGCCAACACTGCCCGGCACGACAAGTGAGGGGGCCACAGCTACTGCTGCCAGTGGGTGAGCCCGGAGCCTGCTTAGAGCCCAGGCTGGTAGCAGGGCTGGGCTACAAGCTGGTGCTGAGCGCGGGGAAAACCAGCTGGTGCTGAGCGTGTGGAAAAGCAGCCCCTCACTCACCCCATGGCCAGCGTT